TTCCAGGTATCTGACAGTTAATGATCTCATCTAGAGCCACATTTATCTTTCTATGCATCCCTGAAAATTTCACCTTTGATCAAGATCCTATTTCTTTGCCAATGACTTTCACCATAACATGCAAAAACACATCTGAAGTCAAGAGGTTAATTAATTTTGTTTCGGATTTTCTTTGTCAAGATTGGCAAATAAAAAACTCTTGAGCTTTTTTACACTTCTTTAGCACCAAGTGTGAATTCAAATGTATTGAAATATACAAATTAACCTAACTAATACATTGTTTTCATTCATTTACAAAAAAATTTGTGAAGACAAATGAGACCACACTACGTACAAAGTAACTATTGTTTTTCAGAGCATAACCATGAAATATAACTGCAATTGAATCATTATGTGTGACTTGCATGCTGAGACAGTTAATGTTTAGCACATGGTGCTTGCAGGAGGGAGGCCCACATTCTAAAGTAATAACTTGGAAAAATAGCTAATCATTTAAGTCATCCATCCCCCACTGACAGTGTGATCAAAGGCCCAATGCATGGACGGCCTTTATTGTGTTTTTGGAATTCATAACTTATATTGTTTGCTGAGATCAGTTGCCTTGGGGCAAGACATTGCAATTTGAGAAGTATGTGCCCACTGGATTAAAAATTATAAGAAAATAAAACGATTCAGGTTCAGTAGTACCCAAATTGTATTAGAACTTATTTCCCAAGTTATATAAAAACACCTCTACCCTGAATTTGACAAACAAACTGTTGAACTTTTATTTGCTTACACACTGCCCCGCTAGAAATAGATTACTAACACTATGGGGCAGGAATCGTGGGAACATAATTTGCCATATGTCAAACAAAACCCAATGCAATTTGATAATTACAATTTGGTTGATTTGGTCTTAAAAATACAGATAAGAAGATGAAGGGATGAATCAAATCAATAAACCTACTCATATATTTTAATTAAAAAGTTGCCTGTTGAAAACTCAAATAGATTGTCGGGTGTTGAATATATCTGTTCACCTTCATTTCCCTTGCAAAGATTTCATGCCCAAAGTATAGTTTTATATCTTCACAAGGAAATTTCAGATGTGAATACAAAATCTATTACATGTTTGCAATCTGAGCATATTGTGGAACAACGTATGCTTACCTATCACCACTACTTCATAGTCATCCTCATAGGAATTGAGCGACATCTGAGGGACAGGTTCTTGTTAAAAGCAGACTATTGTAAACAAAAGTGGAAATTGGTGTCACCGTGGCCTAAGAAATTATGTTTGAACTAAATTTGCAAAAAAATAAAAACAAGCCTCCAAAAACTTAGCATTACGGCCTCACCCTACGACTTGCCTGTTTGCATAAGTAAGGTAAGGGGTTCTGAAAAGATAACAGCTTGTACCGGCCTGGGGCACCAACAAATGAAATGCAGCAAACGGAAATTGTCTTTCCATTCGCTACAATGAATCAGCAAAGCTTCTCCTTTGCATAAATTAAGCCCTTTGTGTGTCAAAACAATATCGTTGCACTCATTTAAACCTTATTTTCAAGATAAAATCTTTTGAAAGGTTACGTTAAAAAATACAAGAACTTATCAAAAATGTTTTAAATATGGCGAGGGTATGAAATCCTAAGCTTGAGGGATTTATCTCGACAGAAACATCGAATTAAATAATTGATTGCTACTAATTTGGTGGTTAGAATATTGTTTAAAAATTCTCTAAATTCAAAATAATATTTAGTCCTACACTATACAGAGATATGGGTTTATGTAAAACGAAGTGTTGGCTTTTGTTCGATAGTTCACAAACTTTCCTAAGCGAGGGGTATTTGTCTCACTTGTCATAATAAAATGAAGAGGAGAGAAGTGTTCGTTGGTCGAAAAGTCGAACGGAAAATTTACAGCAGCCGAATGTGGAAAATAACACATCATCTCAACAAAATTTCTTAACAATTTACCAGGCAATGCTTTCTATCTCCCCTTTACGCAAGATATTAGAATTACATGAATGAAATAACCTTGAATCTGGCTCATACCAACATAATTTGGGTAACCACAGAATTTGTGCGATTTAAAATCGGCAGCTAACGTCTTATAAACTGAAAGACCATGTGTGATAGCCGAACCACTGCTTTCCAAACTATTTAAAGTTTGCATCTGTACAATCACCAAAACTACTCTCCCCACATCCTACCTCGCTGAGTGTGTCTGCAAGCTCTGGCGACGTCAGGCATAAAGCTAAAGACCTTTCTTTAGCTATGCCAGACCTTTTGTGACACAATCATTCTTCGAATGTCATTCCATTTTTAACCGTTCACGTGGAAGTATTTTTACTGTGATCAAAATGGAGGATACGAGGTGTAGCCGAAAAGTAGGTGACGCTTCTCTAGAATGTATGGTTCTTCGTGTTCCAAAACTCAAACTAAACACATGGCGGAAAATAGTGTTGTGCTGTGTACAAGAAGCATTGTCAACTAGTTCCCAGACTTTCTCTTCAGTGTGAGGAACGTTTAAAAAAAAACGTGACAAATCATGACATGGCCTAACCTAAACAACCAAGGTTCATTTTCGTTCATATAGAGAAAGTTCATTGCAATCATACTTTAAAAAAAAGCCCTATTTTCGGAAGGTTGTTTCGGCACGAATAAAGTATGTCTGTACTGTCCTAAATGTAATCGACCCAAGTCATCTTGCCACTTGAGAGAAATCTGCCACACCTCGAAAATCTGTCACCTTCCAAAGCATAAGCATTTAATTGCGTGGTCTTTTAGATTGCCATAAAGTTACGCTGTTCGGCAAAAGTTGCTGAACTTTCCAGGTTGTTAAGTTGAAAGCGAAGTGACAGAAATTGTTCACATATTTTGCGTATTACGCGTTTGCATCTCCTTTCTCTCCAATTAGCCCTAGTGGGGGTGTTTTTACAATTTTTAACAAAGCCTTGACAGAGAGAAAAGAATTCTAGCAGAACTTTGGACAATGACTTAAATCTTCGTGACCATTTTCCTGATAAAAGCTAGCTTAAGACCTTCACTGGTTTAAAAAGAATTTCCCTCTAGCTACTGGTATGTTCTTGGCTCCAGTTGTATTTCACACACGCGCTGAATTGATAACCACTTTGGAAAGATAGGTTAATTTCATTTCAATGGCTTCCATTTCTTTGGAAAATCGAGATCACTAATATTAACAGTTTGTTTGGCGTATCGAGGCGTTAAACATACCTAAACAAGTGGTTTAACAACAATGGGTGTGATGCAAATGAACTACTCAGGTGGAAACTCCAATACAAAGTAATCAAGTTGAAAACTTAGAGGAGCTGTGCTTAGAATTAACTGTTGACAATTTAAATTTGTTGTGTACCGAGAAATCACCGATCTTCGAGAAATATCCAAACACTTTTGACAACATGCACCAGTTCAACCTAACGTCAGTCACATCTTTGCGCCAGTTTCAGCAGGAAAGAAAGTACACACAAAGATGACTACCGTATTCATTTTTGGTGGCTTTCTACCTTGTTTCAGTTTCTATGGTGCTGAGTCATATGTGATTGAATGTCTTGGATTGGCAGCATCAGTATCAATAGACTACTGGTAAAATGCTCAGTTGCCGTCCTGACGTGGAGCAAAGGCCATGGAGACGAAAAAAGTGGGACAGCATACATTGATGAGACAAGATACTGGGAGTCTACATCTCTGAAGATGTCCAAACGAGTCGAAAGTTTGTTCATTTATTTGTTTGTTTTTGCGATTATCATTAAGTTCGAAACAGTTTGGAGCAACTCACATGCTCTAAATCAGCGGTTTCGAACTTAACTGGATAATCGTAAAGGCAAAGGTTTTTGCATCTTTTTCTGTGATCGCTAAATTCTTTCAAGTTGTTAACCTGCCTATGAAAGCCTCCCTTCTTTTCAGCTCGCGAGTGAAGCAGAAAAACGTTTCGGAGCCTCATCTCTAGCTTTGTCACCGGAGCCCGAGGAAAATGTGAGGGAAAGAAGACCATGCAACCTTACTCTTCTCGAGCCACAAACTTTCAACACTTGGACTACAGTGGCTCGCTTTTGAAAGAGAAGTCAGCTGATGATGATAACTTCTTAGGCAGTGAAGTTTTTCAATGAATTAGGAATTCGTTGCGGTTTTGTTTAGTTTTCATCATTATCATCATTATCACCTTGTTTCGGCAGAGAAGTCTTCAAAATTTTCACAGTTCTGAAACTTCCAGAATCACTAGTTCTTTAGGAACCATATCTCTTTTGAATTGACATAGCCAATTTCTCAGAAAATCTCAGAAACATATATATCTTCGTCTTCACACGGTCAATAGACTGGTTACGTAATACGGTGGACAATTCACGTTTTTCACGCTGCAATAGTTCACAAATCACGTTCATGATATTTCACGTGCAGCCGAATACGATTTTGCTGTAAGCACGTACCACATCTTCTTTGCCATATCTTCATTACAGATAATTTGAATTTTTGCGTCTGAGGTTTTCAGTCGAGCACTAAAATACTTGCATCTATATGGGTTTAAGCAATATTTAGAGTCTGGCTGTGTGTTTGATTGAAAAACAACTTTATCACGCATTATCTATTTAAAACATGCAGTCTTCATGTTATGAAAATATTTGTTGAATTGTTCGGCTTTGCCATGCGTACTGATCAGGCAAGTGATCAAGCATTTTCTGCTCGTGCCCGCTTAAAATTTATACCCCATTCACATCAGCAGAACGAGTTTAGTTAAATCGGGTTTAATTGAAAGAATATCAGAAACAGAGAACTGAAAAACTGAATTTCCTGATAGGTTTCAAGCAGTATTTTAAATATGCTAAATTTTAAGGCGATAAACATCTAGATCTAGTGCCTCCTTTGAAGAAAGCAATGTGTAAACAAAATACCTTTATAGGCTGGATTTAGAAAGAGCTTGCAATGAAAACCACTTTACGTCCAACGAAAGGTCTCACAACAGAATCTTCAATTTCTAATTCAGATAACAAGTTAAGTACATTCTAGCAATGCGAGTTAACACGCCTGCCTAGTGCGTAATAATGCGGAGGGATGTGAGGAAGACAATAATAGTTACCTACCGTGCTCTTCTTTCCGTGTTAAAGTGCACGAAAGGGATCCATTCAAAGACAAAGCAGCCGATCAAGTCGAAAGAAGCCGGTAATTGCAAATGATTGCCTGAAATTTTGAGTCTCAACATTACTGCTTTTTTTTTCGCCTTGGGTCAAATATCATTCCCGTTCCGCTTTATTGTCCTAAACCGACAATTAGGTGAATTAAATACGTCAAATTTGACTGCTGAAGCATTTATAACGTCGTTGTTACAGTTAATTAGCGAGTGCCCATGAACGCACGTTTAAGCAGCTTATCGCGGGTCTGATAAAAAAAATGTCACGAAAAATGGCTCAAAATTTCGGATAAACTTGAGACACAGACTATTAAGAATGCGCAAAACTGTAGACGATTAAAAATGGCTTGAGGCCCATTTCATTTGTAGTTCTATAATGATTGGGCCGCAATTTACATCCCGCCGCATTCGTTACGTCATTGGTCAAATATACTTGCAGTTGATGAAATAAAAGAAGACATTTTGAATTAGAAAGAGTTTATCCCAAAAGCTTCACTCAATACACCTACATGGCCCTCCAATATTTTTATTGCTGAGATAAACCAAAAAGATGGACACGGATTTGCGTCATTTTCATTTTGCCTCAATACTTAGGAAACAATATTGCATGTTACGAGGACATGAACATGGGTTTTCAACCAAATACCTTAACTGTCAATAGTGTTGATGAACGCATTCCAATAAAAAAAAGGAGACCGCTCACAATCTTAATAAAAATTCCCTGACTTGGAATTTGTTGACCCCCATTATCCCCTCACGGCGCCAGGGTAGAGAGCCAGCATTTCGCTTGCCCCGCTTTTAGACTAATAGTATGCTTGCCATGAATAAACAATCCTCTAACGAAGTATTTCGGTTCTCCCCTTTTTGGTGTTCTAGATCAGTTAGATCCAGTGATTTTCCTTAGTTGCGTTCACACTTAACGGAGTGTGATTCTTGCGGCATAACGAACATGTTTTGACACTGCGAGACAGAGGGTAAGGGGAACCTAATGAAACTCCGGAGCAGTAAATGAGATGATTTTTAAAGCAAAGTGTGATAAAGTTGATTGTCTTGACCACACCAGCTGCAGCCTCTTGAAAATAATTCTAAGCGATAAGGTGAGTTTTAGTCTTAACTGAATTTTAATCAGCAAATCGTATTGAACGACGCATCAGTTAAATCAAACCGCTAGTGAAGCTAATGAGTTTAATCCTAACGAACATGGACTCTTTATAATTAACAACTATTCCACATATCCAATTATTCTCATATCCAACAAGCGCGAGTGGAATAATTGTTTTATTAAAAAAAAAAAAACGCCTCCAAGATATTAGACAAATCTTCTCGGCCTTATTTTGTAAGAAGAAACCGGATGTTACAATGTACAGATATTAGATTATGGTATATTGGCTCA